GATGAAGGAAAACCTACGCTAATCTCTTGCGTTCTTATATCTTGCCTCAAATGAAATCTGATTGTATTGCATATGTGCAAGGCTGTCAACTGTGCCAACGGAACAAAAGCACCATGCAGCCTCCCCTTGGTCTATTGAAGCCCTTGCCTATCTCAACAGGTCCTGGAGACTCTGTGTCCATAGATTTCATGGACACTAAGGTGAAAAGCAGGAATGAAAAAAGTGGTAATCGTTGATAAATTCAACAAGTTTGTTGTTTTTGTAGCATTGCTTGCGGAAGCTAAATTTGACTTAGTAATTCGGGAATTCTTTAACCACTGGGTAAAGGACTCCGGTCATCCCTTGACTATCGTTAGTGACAGAGACTCTCGATTCACTAGTGAAATTGGCAGCAACTAGTGAATGTCTACGGCTCTAAACTGACAATGTCATCAGGCCGACACCCTGAGACAAATGGGCAGACTGAGCAAATGAACAAGATTTTGCAGCAGACACTGCGTATGGACATTCGTCCCGATCAGATTGACTAGGATGAACATTTGCCCAAAGTTGCTAGTGCCTATAATAACTCTTTGCACTTGTCTACTTGCAGAACTCCGATGGAGTTACATTTGGGATGGAGTCCTCGCAGACCTATAGATTGTCTAAACCCGGATAGAGCACATAAACTTCCGCCAGGAACCAGAGAGTTCGCAATACAGTAGCAGAAAGATTTAGAAAAGGTAAAGGAGAATATAATCAAAGCCCAGCATTAAATGATTGAACAGGCCAATAAGCTTAGGAGACCTTCTCAGTTTGTTGTAGGTGATCTGGTTTGGGTGAAATCGAAAGAATTTATCCCTGAGCAAAACATATCTCAGAAATTGTTACCTGCCTACAAAGGACCGTGGCAAGTTTTGGATGTAATAGGGGATGTAGATGGACCCTCCTATGTTATTGAGATACTTCCACATTTGCATACCTACCCAGTGTTCCACGCGTCAAAGCTCTTACCTTGTGTAACTAACGAACTGTTTCCCAGTTGAAGGTCAGCAATTCCTCCAAGTATGGATGGGAAATTTGATGTTGATTAGATTGTTGCTGAAAGTACTATCCAGACTGGACGTAGAGGTAGACCTCAGCGACAATATTAAGTCAGATTTGCATATCAAGATCCAAGTGAAGACCGCTGGTTTACTAGGGAAGAGCTAATTGAAACTGCACCGAACGTAGTATCTTACTATCAAAGTGCAAGAAGAGGTCTCAATATTGTGGACAGATAAGGGTTTCTCAGAGGACTTGAAATTAGGCCGGCGAGAGTAAAACGGCCTTTACAAATTAGACCCCAGATCAGTACCCCAACAGCGAGGGGCCCTGTCGGCCAGAACTTAAATTCACGAGCAGCAACCCAAAAGACAAAGTTCCTGAGACAAATGTCACATCCATA